AGGGATCTTGGACTTTTCTTTATCTTGTAGGAAGTATTGTCCTTTTTGCCTCACATTATTTTAAATCTAATCTACTCCTTCCTCATATCCACAACAATGCTCTGCTTAGGCCTTTATCACCTCTCTTCTGGATTGCAGTGAAGGTGGTCACCTGGTTTCCCAACCTCTAGTCCCATTCAGAGTGAAATATTCCTAAAAGGCAAATCTGATCAAGCCAGTCCTCCACTTTAAAATATCAACACAGATGGTACTTCTGGGTTCTGAGAATAGAGATTTACAAATTTATTTATTTTTATTTTTTTCCAGTCTATTTCCTAGTATTTCCACAGCATATATATCACTTTTGTGGAACAAGGCAATAATAAAAATTAAAACATTCCACCCAACCATCATCTCCTTTAAAAAGACTTTTCCTGGGACGCCTGGGTAGCTCAGCACTTGAGCATCTTTCGGCTCAGGGTGTGATCCCAGGGTCCTGGGATCCAGTCCCGCAACAGGCTCCCTGCAGGGAGAGCTTCTCCCTCTGCTTATGTCTCTGCCTCTCTCTTTGTGTCTCTCATGAATAAATAAATAAAATCTTAAAAAAAAAAAAAAAAAGAATTCTCCCCTTCTCCTGGACCTAAAAAGTACTTGAGAGGTAAGAGTCCAAGACTAATGTTCTACAGGCTAATCTCCTATAAAAGGAGTTGTCTTCCTCCAAAGCTCCAGGAAAACAAGCCATGGCCCAGTGCTTAATACAATCAATCCTGGTCAACTGCAAAATTTGAACCCAGGCTCCCTGATCAAGCCGGGAATGGGTGGCATATACTATAATATTTATAATTATGTGCTTGTTAAATAAATGAGTGCACAGAGCTGCAGCAATAAAGGTCACAAAGTTAGTAATTAGAAGGGCACTTGCATCTTTGTTCTTGTCACTTTAGATATAAAACCTTTTTCTCAAACCCACAACTTCTTACTTAAAAAATTTCAAACCTACAGAAAAGTTGTAAGAACATAATAATTGCCCACGCTTTATTTCTCACCCAGTTTCACCCATTGTTAACATTTTGTCACATTTGCGTTTCTCCTTTTCTCTTACTCCCCTCTCCTTCCCTCCTCACCCCCACTTTCTGTATTCAAAAAAAAAATTTGGCTGAATCACTTCAGAATTATCTGCAGACAATTTAATGCTTCATTGCTGAATACCTGAGCACATATCTCCTAAGGATAGGGACCTTCTCCTACCAACCAAATACAATTATCACACTTAGGAATTCGAATATTAAATATAATACTGTTCTCAAAGTCTGTGCCCAAATTTCCCATATTGTCCCAATATAGCTGTTCCCCACTGCAATCCAGGATCAATTAAGGATTAGCTAGCTACTGTATTTAGTAGGATGTTACTTCAGTCTCCCTTAGTCTAGAACAATTCTCTAGCCTTTTTTTTTCTTTCAGGACAGATAATATTTTTGGAGAATCTAAGACAACTATTTTTGCAGAATGTTAAAACTTGGCTTTATTTTTTTTCTTTAAGATTTAATTTCTTTATTCATGAGAGACACAGAGAGAGAGAGACAGAGACACAGGCAGAGGGAAAAGCAGGTACCCTATAAGGAGCCCGGTGTGGGACTCGATCCCGGACCCCAAGATTATGCCTTGAGCCAAAGGCAGATGTTCAACCGCTGAGCCACTGAAGCATCCCAAAACTTGGCTTTAAAAGAAATTATTTGGGCTTTTTGTACCTCACCTAGCAAGTAAGCTTCACCTCTGGATTTCATTCTGGTATTCTGAATTTATTTATAACAGACTCATTTAAAAATCAAGCACAGAACTGCAGAGTTGGAACTGGGCTCAGATACATTTGCTCAAATCTCTTCTGATTGTAGCTGAGAAAACTGAAATCCAGAACAGTCTAGCAACTTGCTCAGAGCCAGGTTTAAATGGAGCTCTGACCTCATTCTACCACATTACCGCATGGCAGATGTAGCTCCCGAGGACATGCTCTGTCAGATGACAAGAAGCTTTCAGACCATTTTTATACACCGAGTAGAAGTTTGAAATATTGCCATTAGATATTTCCAAATTTAAATGTTAAAAAGTCTCATACAGTAGTCTTTATAAATAAGCATTCCTCTTCTCTGACTGCTTGAATAACTGTTTCAGATGCCAAAGACAGAAAGCAAGTAAAGCAACTTTTTCTGGGACCTCAATTAGTCTGGCCCTCAGTTCTGGCCCAGCAGGGATGGGGATCCACCCAGGTTGTGTGAAAAATGGGAAAAGATCATGCGCTGGAGTCAGTTTCAGCTCCCTGAGTCATTAATTCTGCAACCTTGGAGAAATCATTACATCTCTCTTAGATTCTTTTTCTTCACATATAAAACAGAAATACAATTATTGGTATCTTACAGACTGTTATGAAGAATAAATGAGATTACTAAGAGAAATGATACTAGCAAAACACCCATGTACTGCTTGGTATGTACAAACACTAGTTCCCTTTCCAATTCGACTCCCACCTTCCCTGAACCTCCTAGTTTACATGGGTAGTAGGGACAGGCTTATACTTTACCTCCCTTCCAACACTAACGATTTAAGAAAAACATAGTGTACTAATTAAACATTATCTCTGGCTAAAGGAATTTTAACTATGTTCTAAATCATTATTAAGGAAACATTATGCTAAATGCTGGTGCTTACTTTTGAGTATGACACAGCTATAATACCAATTCTGCTAGTAAAAAATATGCATATATGTTTATACTCAAGGGGTTAAACTAGAATAAAATATTCCAAAATATTAATCATGAATATTCTCAGATGGTGGGATTTTTTTGTTAAAGATTTTATTTATTTATTCACGAGAGATAGAGAGGGAGAGGCAGAGACACAGGGAGAGGGAGAAGCAGGCTCCATGCAGGGAGCTTGACGTGGGACTCGATCCTGGGTCTCTAGGATGCCCTGGGCTGAAGGTGGTGCTAAACTGCTGAGCCACCCAGGATGTCCAGACGGTGGGATTTTAAAAGATTTTGTCTCTTCTTAACATTTTTCAATTTTTACAATAAGCATGTATTACCTTTATAATAAGAAAAAAGTTTATTTTCTAAAATAATAAAAAGATTTTAATAATATACATCTTATGATAGGATTATATTCTCCAATTATATACTGTCAAAATCACTGTGAACTTACATCAGGAAGGCAAGAATGTGCCAGAGTGATGGAGTATAACATACTCTGAATATGATAAATTCAAGCAATTCAAAACTTTTTCTTCCATTTTCAAAACAAACTGCTGTTTTTTTCATTTAGGCACAGGGTGTACATACTGGCACGTAAGAGCTGTGTGTGCGTGTGTGTGTGTGTGTGTGTGTGTGTAAATATAGAACCACACTTAATGCAGCAAGATGCTCATGCCATAAAAGGCAAACTGGGCAAACAGCAGATACACGACTCCTATTTCATACTTAACGAGGACATGCAAATATGGGTGGAATTGTACCAAAATATTTAAATCATTATTTCTTCCTTTTTTTTTTTTTAACTTCTGAGTGTGCTTAGCTGAACTTGTACATGTTAGTTAAACATCAGTAAAATGTGACTTCACTGTGAACATAATTTGGGAAGACAGAAGAGACACGGTTGAACTCCGGCAACAGTGGCAGGCACCTGCAACTGATGGAGGTGAGAAAGCAAAGACCCTGACCCGGGGCTCATGTGCAGCCAGTTTACTGGGGGAAAGCTGAGTTAGTTGTTACAATACTGTAATTCTTCCTTAGTGATTGCTAAGTAGCTGCTGTCTGAGCCCCATTAGGTGCGCTAGTACCCTGGCTCACCCTGGGACCTCTCCACATCTGGGACAACAGTGTACCCTATTTCAGCACGATGGCTGCTATCTGCCTGATTGTTAATATTTCAAACACCACCCCATCTCTACTGGCATATCTCTATCCATTCCTAGGCACTGCCGGTCACTGGCTATACCATGGTTATTCTAGCACCTTCATTTTGCACTTCCAAAGGTAGCTACTTGGATAGAGCATCCATGTGTGTCTTTGGGGCGTGTATATTTGTGTGTGTGTGTGTGTGTGTGTGTGTGTGTGCATGCACGCACGCATGTGTGTTTTAAGAAGAGAAAAAAAAAGAGAAAGAAGAGAACATAAGAATGTTATTTCTTAGAAAAAAAATAATTTCATCATGGGTCCTATCATTTCAGAATTTCAAATCAGATGCAGGAAGATTTTGATTTATCCGGGATTCTGTTCTTTTTCCTGATCAATCCAGAAAGTGCTTCATCCTCTCACAGTCTGATGGAATATCTAACCTATCTAAAACATATCATCCTCCCTATCCCTCAAAAGACAAAAACTAATTCCTGATACTAACAGGAGCAGAGCATTCATAAAAAGAAAGTACAGCATTTTCAAAATACATCTAATGACCTAAAAATGTCATCATCTATGATACGAAATGTCAATGCTTAGACTATCAAAATAATATTATAAAAGAGATTTCTTTTTACCTACAAGGAATGAAAAATAACTCACTAGCTCAATAAAAGCTCAGGAATAAGGCTAAACTAGATATCAGGAAAAAAAATCAAGAAAATAGTATAACTAGTTTTTAAAATAAACAAAGCCATGTTAAAAAAAAAAAACTTCACAGGAATAGTGATTTTAATAAATCAGAGAAAAGAAAATTCCATGACTAAAACGACTCCTCTAAGAACTGGATTTTCAACATGTATAGTACTTATAATAGCAGGTTGGTCATGATATATTTTCTTATTATTGTCATTATTCCTGCTTTACATAGGAGTTTTATTTGTAGATATTTTATCTATTTAGAATAATCTCCAAAAGCTAAAAATGTTAACAAGAGCTAAAATTTTTTACATAGTCAAGCATGTAAGTGTAACTCACCTTATACATGATAATTTTCAGAATCTTAAAAAAGAAAACATTACAAGTTGTCCTTATTTTCTGTAATCCATCATAAAATACAAAAACCGTTCATACCTGCATAGGTCCAGGAATGCAAGACAGAACTCTCTCTATGTTCTCAGAGGTCACATCAACATCGTTCACAGCAACAAGGACATCACCTGAAAACAGAATAACAAAGGTTGTTGTATGACTATCCAAACATTAAAAACTAACTAAAACTTAGAACATTTTTTTAAAAAGCATCGATTCCAACCTCTTCAAAGTACTATGGAATTCATTATGTATTATTATATAGCTCATAGCAGCAGAGCTAAGCTCCCATTCCACTCTTTTCTTATATTATAATGCAGCCCAATGTTATGCCATCACTAAAGACAACCTATGGATATTTAAAGAGATGAATATTCTCATTTCGGATACAATTGGGAGGATTATGTCAACTCAAAGGACAAATACAAAATTTGTAGCATAAACCAAGTACTTACACAGTAAAAAAATTTGGCTGAAACTGTAATTAAATCCATGTGGTACATCATAACTCAACATGCTGCAGCATTCACTGTTATTATTGATCTGTGTCTATACACGGCTCTTTGTTTCAAAGGCCCCAACCATAACAAAATTCACAGCATGTTTTGGTAAAAGCTTCTTTTCCACGGCTTTTCTGTAAATGTGTATGTTTATCAAACTTTCATAAAATAAAGATCAGTGTTAAAATGGAAATTACTTTTATAACACAGAGGTAATATCAATATTTTTAATTAATAGAAATATATATACACCAAGGTTATTTTCTATCATTCCTAAATATATCATTAGGAAATGGACCAAATAATTAATATTCACCTAACAGATATTTATTGAGCACCTACTGTATACCATGCACTGTTCTAGGCACTACAGATAGAGAACTGAATAGACAAAAATCTCTACTGTCACAGAGCTTCATACTCTGGGGAAGACGGATAATAGACATGTATACAGATAATAGTGTTAGTAGACAATTCTCCATCAGTCCCTCATGTTTTTGTACATCTTGTAAGGCAAGGCACTGAAAGTCCTGGTTCTGGATTATTATTTCAAGAATGTTTGTGTAGTGAACAGCCCTGAACAATAGAGCTACTGTTGTGGGGAGTAATCATCTGAAAACATGTCTAACAAAGCTCTAAAAGCAGGAGACATACATGTATTGTCATAACAGATATGAAAATTAATTAGAGTGAGTGTAGTATACATATTTTTAAGTGTTTAGTAGAAAATTTTCTCTTTCTGTAACAGAAATATTATATCCACTTCTCATTCTCTAACTTCTCATTCTCAGCATCTCTGTGACTCAGAAGTGGCAGGCTTCCTGGACATCGTATCACTGCAGTGGGCAGCAAAGTTCTTTCTTAACAAGCACACAAAAGTCATTAGTATGCCCTGCCAAAGGCTGAAAGGAAATGAACTGCATGAATTGGTTTGAACTATTAGATAAGAAATGCTCTGCAAATTACTGATGGAAAATTTTATCAAGATACATTCAAAAGTTAAATAAAATAGAAAGAGGTGAAATCAGTTTATCACAGTGCTTAAATCAATTCCTCAATGTAAAATTAATCATTTGAGAAACTCCAACAATTTCTCAGCATCTACTTATATCAAATGCATACTGAAAGGCACCAAGGGCTATGATAACATATATGCCAAAGTTTGTTTACTGCTCTACTTATACTATATACAAAATGAATATATAGTTTAAGAAATTATTATTATTCTTTAAAGATTTTCAGAGAAAGAAATGATGTGAAGGAGAAGAGACAAATACGGCAGAGATATTTTAAGAAAACTGAAACACTGGGGTGGCTCAGGTGGCTCTGTCGGTTAAGCGCACAATTCTTGGTTTTGGCTCAGTTATGATCTCGGAGTTGTAAGATCGAGTCCCAAGCTGAGCTCCATGCTCAGCTCAGAGTCTGCTTGAGACTGTGTCCATTTCTGTCAGCCCCTCTCTTAGCTTGCTCTCACTCTCTAGATAAATAGTCTTTTTTTAAAAGGGGGAAAAAGAAAATTGAAATGTTTCAAGTTTTACAGAAGGTGAAAATGAAAATATGTATCAAATAACAACATGTAAAATATCAGAGAATAAAAACCATTCATTAGGTGCTCACAAAAAACTGAACCTATCTTTTTAAAAAAGCACTGCAAATGTTTAACTGGAAACAAGCGGAATGTCCATCAACAGTGAAATGTAAAAATGAATATACAATGGAATATCACATATCAAAAGCCTGGATATTTCCCAAGATTATAAAATAAAGAAAATAAACACAAGAGAATATACCCTATATTTTTCTATTAAATGAAGTTTAAGAAGACGTAAAATTAAAAAAAGAAGAAGAGGAGGAGGAAAAACCAACTCTGTTGATAGAAAACTTGACTTTCAGAAGGGAGGAGGTATTAACTGGGAGGAGGCACTATGGAACCTTCTGGGTACTGGAAATGTTCTTTGGGTGGTAGTTACACAGGCATATACATATGTCAAAATTCATTCAATGTATACTTAAGATTTGTCCATGTTATGAATGTTATACCTCAAAAAGATTTCTAAAAAGTAAAAAAACTTCAAAAAATTTAAAAGAGAAATAGCACAAGTGTGTCATACAAAACAAAGTTATTCAGTGATCACAGGTGAGAACCTTAGAAGTTACACAAAAAGCACTTAAAATAAAACTTCTACTGTTAAACTAATGTGTTTAGAACATTAATGTGTGATTTCTTTAACCCTATCCTTTCCAATCCTTAAAAAACACCTACTTAAACTAGCAAAACTGGGTCATCTTGATGAAAAAAAAATCACCAAGGTGATACATAATTTCTAGGATGCAGGTAAAAAGAGGATTTGCTTTGGTTTAGGGATACAGACTGGCTACTTTGTAGTCAAGGAGCAATCAGCTGTCAAACTTTTTTTTTTTAAGATTTATTTATTTGAAAGAGAGAGAGCACCTGCGTTCACGTGCATGGGGGTGGGAAGGAGCAGGGAGGGGCAGAGGGAGAAAGAGAATCTCAAGCAGGCTCCACACCCAGCATGGAGCCCAACACGGGGCTTGAACTCACAACCCTGAGATCATGACCTGAGCCAAAATAAAAAGTCAGATATTTAACTGACTGAGCCACCCTGGTGTCCCTCAGTGGTCAAACTTTAAGAAAAACTCAGAAATAAAAAATAGGGAGTTAAGTCAGCAGAAAGAACTGCAAAAATGGCACCAGAAAATGCAGCAAAGCCCCCAGAATCCCAGCAAAAGAAGAATCAGAATAGAATATGAGTTCTACTGTCATGAAAGGGAAAGAATGAAAACAGTCACCAGTCTCACTGTGTTGGCCAACACACTTTAGTCAAAGGAGGGTCATTCTCCAGCTAAGACAATGGCAGAAGTCACCCCAGCATACTGCATTACCAGGACAAAGTTTTCAAGATCCTCCTGCATATGGGGTTACCTCACAGTTCAACCACAGAATTCAGTGTGAAATGAAACTATGAAAGAAACAAATGAGAGAATTCCATCCTGTGGGATTATCAAAGTCACCATGACATTATAAATGTCCATTATTTATTCCCAAAGTATGTGACTTTAAAAATATACAACATAACCATAAAATTAAACATCTGAAAAAAGAAAAAAACATTTATAATGACTCCACACAAATCCAACTCTACTAGCATTTTGCTGCATTTATATTTATTTCTAATCATTTTCCCATATTTTTCTACATAGTATGTGCATTTATTCAATAACTGTTTTTGAGGGCTTATTTATCAACCAAACCTTTTGCTATGCATCAAGGATGAAATAATAATTTTATTCTGACAATTTTTTCTACATATTGGTAAATCATAAACTCTTCCATTATGAAACTGAAATGATGAACTTCATTTTTTTGCCTTTTTATTGCTACTCAATACACATGCAGAAAAGTGCACAAACTGTAGTAGTACAACAGTAAATTATCAAAAAATGCATATTTATGTAACTACATTCAGGCCAAGAAGTATACTCTGAGCATCATGTGTATCTTTAAATTATTTTAAATATAATCAACAGGACTATATAGTAGTCTCTCCCTCTCTATAGTTCATTCTCTTTCCTCCCACACAGATGGTATCCTAGAGGATTCAGCAGACTGGAGTGAGGATCAGGGGAAAGTAAACATGGAATAGGACATTCACTGATCATAACCACCTCTCCACTAGGGTTCAAGAGAAATGGGCAAAAAGAATTTTAGAGATTTGTCTACAAATCAGTTCAATTAGGTCCTGAACAGAGGCCCCAGATAAATATAGGCGTTTCCCATCTTGTGGTATCCTAAAATTATGGTGGTTGGCAACAACCAGGCAAGATTTCATAAGCATGAATTCTGGCACCCTCTGAAAGAACAAAGAATAAACCTTAGAGACATTTTACAAAAGAGGAAGTTGAGCACCTGAGAGAATGTAAGCATGCATTAGCTATCTGTTACTGCATAACAAATAACCCCAAAACTTAGGCATTTATTTATTTATTTATTTATTTATTTATTTATTTATTTTTAAGATTTATTTATTTATGATAGACATAGAGAGTGAGGCAGAGACACAGACAGAGGGAGAAGCAGGCTCCATGCTGGGAGCCCAACGTGGGACTCGATCTTGGGACTCTAGGATCGCACCCTGGGCCAAAGGCAGGCGCCAAACCGCTAAGCCACCCAGGGATCCCCCAAAACTTAGGCATTTAAAACAACCACCACCACCTATTATCCTTCTTGGTTCTGGGGCTGACTGGGCTTAGCGGAGATTCTCACTCAGGGTTCCTCATGTAGTTGCAGTCAGATGGTGGTTGGGGTTGGAATTATCTGGAAGGCTTCTTCACTCATGTGTGGTAACTGATGCTGCAGGGTGGCTGAGACCTCAGTTGGGGTGATTAGCTGGAATACTACTCGTGGCCTCTTCATGTGGACTACCCTTGCTCACACAATGGCAACTGGACTCCAAGAATACTAAGCAGAAGCTGCATCACCTCTTATGATTCCACCTCTGAAATCACATAGTACTAGTTAAGCTGTAGTCCAGGCCCACAGGGGTAGAGAGGGGAAGACCCAAAAACTTAACTCTCCATGGAAGGAGTATCAACATGACGTTGTAAGAAAGGAATAGGGAGATCTTGTTGCAACCATTTGGAACACCCACTGCATAGATGTCCTTCCTATGTGATTTTGCCCTTGTAAACCCCTATCATTGTACTTATCATACTATGTGAAACTGTCTACCTACTTCTTTTTTTTTTTTTTAAAGATTTTATTTATTTGACAGAGAGAGAGCAAGCACCTGCAGGGGGAGCAGCAGAGGGAGGGGAAAAAGCAGGCTCCCCACAGAGCAGAGAGCCCCACGTGGAGCTCTATCCCAGGACTCTGAGATCATGACCTGAGCCGAAGGCAGATGCTTAACTGACTGAGCCATCCAGGCCCCAGTCTGCCTCTTTCTGACCCATCTCTTCCATCACAGTATGAGCTTCTTAAGAAGTGTAAGTGGATCCTTAATCTTTGTATTCCTGACACTTGGCAAATGTTCAAAAGTTTCATTGAATCAATGAACAAATGCAATTTAGACTAAGAAATATTTTTAAATGTTTCTAAAGTAGCTATAAAAGTTTATCTAAATTTTTTTTTAAAGATTTTATTTATTTATTCATGAGAGACACACAGAGAGAGAGGCAGAGACACGGGCAGAGAGAGAAGCAGGCTTCCCGCAGGGAGCCCAATATGGGACTCGATCCCGGGACCCCAGGATCACGCCCTGGGCCCAAGGCAGACACTCAACCGCTGAGCCACCCAGGTGTCCCAGTTTATCTAAATCTTATAGGCTGAGTCAACTTAAAAGACCATGAGTTTTTAAATCTGTTAATAACTTAAGTTTCATTAACAATATATTTTCACATTTGACTAAATCAGCTTTACCTAAGTAATAAAGTTGCTGTGACTCAAGCATTATATCCAACGCTAAAAATGTATTAGCAATACAAAATGCTCACCTCAATATATATTCAGAATGACTTTTGGATTTTTTCCCCTTAAAATTGATGAAATGTTTTATGACAAGCACCCTTAAAAGGAAATTTATGTATAACATCACTGTTGCTAAATATGCCAAATGAAACAGCTTAAAACCACGCCAAGAACTTAGTGTACTCAAGTGCAAACATACAATTTAAAAGTATTTTTATTCATAAATTACATATTTTTATATCATGCTGTTGGATATAGGTCATTCAAATCTAAATTATCATTGTAAAATTAGCTTATTTTCTTTCTCTTGTCAGCAAATATAACCAAGATGAAATATAATTATATAATTCAAAACTCAAAAATTAGTTAAGCTATTCCTTGGCTTAAACGAGGCACACGCATATTCAACTCACCAAAATCCTTATTTAAGAACACCATGGCCTTCCTTGAAGTACACCATGCTTAACAATTTCACTATTGTCCCAAATATCACCAAGCAGTCCTTAATCTGTTGAGACTTTGGATAGAATTCTGTTTTGATCATGTCTCACAAAACATCATTAATCATGAATCTCTGCACACAAGAACTGATATTTACCAGCAACACTTACCAATTAATATCTGACCACTCTTCATAGCAGATCCTCCTGGTAGCAGGCCATGGACCACAAGTCTCTCTCCACTGCCCTGTTTCCCACTTTTTTTCCAGCTCCACTTGGTCTGATGAATAATCCCAACCAGTACTTCCAGAAGCTTGAGCTGCTCTTTGGCTTTGGTTACAGTTAACTTTTTGGGGTTTACATAAATATTCACATCTTTATACCGCTGTTGGACAACAACTCCTGTTTTTGGGTTGGACTGATGCTTTAGAATGGACACTGGCTCATTGTCATTGCTATTTTTTTTATTGTAGCGCTTGGGTAAAAGACTTTTACTTTTTAAAATTTTGGTAAACCGCTTCAGCTTAGGTTCATACTTTTTTCCTTCTTTGTAATCTTCTTCAATTATAATTTCATTTTCACTGAACCGGACATGGTTCACAGTAGGAGTCTCAGGAAGGAGGCTTTCTTCTTCATCTTCACTCAATTCCAAATAAAATAATTCTCCATTTTTCTGCACATTGTCCAGCCATTCAGGTTCAACATCACTATAAAAAAGAGAAAAGATATTCTGAATAGCAGCCAAACATAAGAAAAATAGTTATGTCTTTTGGGCATGGGCACGCAGGGAGGTGGGAGGAGGTGAAAATTCTTTGATTCTTTCAAAGTCTCACTATTTCTGATTTACTGTAAGCATCAACATTATTTCCTAGAACACTTTTTAAGAGTCTTGAAGAAATGGAGTTGGAGGAGAGGGAATCAAAAAAGCATAGTGAGGGCAGCCCAGGTGGCTTAGCGGTTCAGTGCCACCTTCAGCCCAGGGTGTGATCCTGGAGACCTGGGATCGAGTCCCACGTCAGGCTCCCTGCATGGAGCCTGCTTCTCCCTCTGCCTGTGTCTCTGCCTCTTCCTCTCTCTCTCTCTCTCTCTCTCTGTGTCTGTCATGAATAAATAAATAAAATCTTAAAAAAAAAAAGCATAGTGATAGAAAAGAAAAAAAAAGGAGATGGCCTCCTTCTAGAACCTAAGATTTTTTTTTTCATTTTAATTCAGCCCTTGTAAGGTTATTGCTCACTTTACACCATTTCACTGGACAATAATTTACATTAATAGTTGATTGTTTAATTATATCCAGATATAAGCCATTTGGAAATTGGACATAAAAACATCCTGTTTGTTGGGATCCCTGGGTGGCGCAGCGGTTTAGCGCCTGCCTTTGGCCCAGGGCGTGATCCTGGAGACCCGGGATCGAATCCCACGTCGGGCTCCCGGTGCATGGAGCCTGCTTCTCCCTCTGCCTATGTCTCTGCCTCTCTCTCTGTGACTATCATAAATAAATAAAAATTAAGAAAAAAAATTTAAAAAAATAAATAAATAAATAAATAAAACATCCTGTTTGCATAGAAATTATTTAGTATGTTTATGTTAAAATGAAAACTAAAGCCTACTGTTTCTAATAAATTTGTTTATACGATAAATTTTCAAAACATTCATCTCACCATAAACTAAAATCTTTGCTAAAAACTAGTTTATAATCACAGTTGATAAAGATCGCTTCTACAGCTTAAAATTTCCATTAAACTTGTTTTTTATAAATAATTGTAGTAAGAAAAGTAAACCGCATATTACATAATTTGTCATGTGATTGTTAAAAAAACTTTTAACTGAAGTAGGCCATTGATAAAAACAAAAGTACTTCTATGAAAATGGCTGAAACAGCATTACAAAACAAAATGCTTATCTTAAGGTAGCAATCCTAAATACAAACTCAACCCTGCCTGTTCAATGTAATGAACACTACCTTTCAAACTGCTATTTTTAAAATAAAACTGGTTACAGTGGAAAATAAAGTATGTAAAGAGAGTATTTCAGAAACACCAGCTGTAATATTCTGATGTAAAAGGGTGTAATTTGTGTTCTAATCATTCCATCAAATAGAAAGACATTTCTGTTTTCTGCACTATTTATTAGCAACTCTTATTCTTTTAACTTAAAAGCCAACTATTTCTCTAGGAGCACTTGGGTGACTCAGTTGGTTAAGCGTCCACCACTTGAATTTGGCTCAGGTCATGATCTCAGGGTTGTGAGATCCAACCCCGTGTTGGACTCTGTCCAGTTGTTGGGCTTTTTGCATTGGGATGGAGCCTCCTTAAGATTGTCTCTCTCTCTCCCTCTCCTCTGCTCCTCCCTTCTACCACCCAAACCTGTGCACACTCTATCACTCTCTAAAAAAAAGTCAACTTCGCTCTAAAAGTTGTGAAAATTACTTTTAAAAAAATGTATTACTCTATTACTCAACTCTGAAACTAACCACTGATCTCATCTGTGGTTGGAAATTTTCAACTATATATTAATGGTTTAAAAAAAGGCATATCCAGGGCAGCCCCGGTGGTGCAGTGGTTTGGCACCGCCTGCAGCCCGGGGTTTGATCCAGGTGACCCTGGATCGAGTCCCGCATCGGGCTCCCTGCGTGGAGCCTGCTTCTCCCTCTGCCTGTGCCTCTGCCTCTCTCTCTCTGTGTGTGTCTCTATGAATGGATAAATAAAATCTTTTTTTTTTTTTTTTTAAAAAAGGCATATCCAGCCCCATATATAAAACTAACATTTCTTTGGCACTTATTGGTTCCTAATTGTGGCATTATTTTAGCACCATTTAGCATCAGGTTTTAACCATTTATCAGATGTTTCAACCATATCTATCTGTACCCACAGAAATTAGTATTTACTCTGAAGAATCTAAATATTTCCAATCTAGATAACTATGTACCATGATTTAAAATGGTACAATGTACATATCATGATTACACATAATTACATATGAAGATATGTATCAGTTTAAACACTGAATGAAATTATTTGCTTTATAATCTCACTCTTTTAATCTTTAAAATTTGAATGGAAAACCATTTTTTGGCTATGACTTAAAGATATTTGCAGCTTGCAGGGAGCAGGCACAGGGCATTCAATCATGGAGCAAATGAACAGTGCAGGGCACTTGGAAAGTACTAGAATTGTAATGATTAAAAAACATCAGTTCCTTCCCCTGTCTAGTGGAGAAGAGAAAGTGAGAAAGAATTCACAACAATACATATGGTAAATGAAAGACAGAGGTCATCTAGTTTAGCCTGGGATTGAGGATCAGGGCAGGGAGAATTTCTGGTAGAGGAGACACAGAAGTAAGTTTTAAAAGAGTAGGTGGTTGGTGATGGGGATATGGGGAGCTGAAAGAGAAAAGACAACTCCAAGCAGAAGGAACAGCATAAACAGAGGCCTTGAAGGACTGTCTCCATGCCCATGTGGACAACTAAAGCTAGTCTGGAACATACCTCAACATCATAAAAGCCACATATAAAAAACCCACAGCTACTGTCATCCTCAAAGGGGAAAAACTGAGAGCTTTCCTCTATAATCAGGAACAAGACAGGGATGTCCACTCTCACCACTGTTACTTAACATAGTACAGGAAGTCCAAGCCTCAGCAATCAGACAACAAAAAGAAATAAAAATCAACATCCAAACCAACAAGGAAGAAGTAAAGCCTTCAATATTTGCAGACGACATCATACTCTGTAGAGAAAATCCACAAAACTCAACCAAAAAACTGCTACAACTGATATACCAATTCAATAAAGTTGCAGAATACAAAATCAACATACAGAAATCTGTTGCATTTCTCTAAAATAATGAAGCAGCAGAAGGAGAAGTTAAGGAATCAATCCCATTTATAATTATACCCAAAATCATAAGATATCTACAAATAAACTTAACCAAAGAGGTAAAAGATCTGTATTCTGAAAACTATAAAACATGTATGAAAGAAATTAAAGATGACACAAAGAAATGGAAAAATATTCCATGCTCATGGATTGGAAGAACAAATATTGTTAAAATGTCTACTACCACCCAAAACAATCTACACATTTAATGTAATCCTTATCAAATTACCACCAGCATTCTTCACAGTTAGAATAACCAATCCTAAAATTTGTATGGAAAAAAAATAAATAAATAAAATAAAATAAAATTTGTATGGAACCACAAAAGACCCTGAATAGCCAAAGCAATCTTGAAAAAGAAAAACAAAAACAAAAAAAAAAAAAAAGAAAAAGAAAAACAGGGGCACCTGCGTGGCTCAGTGATTGAGTGTCTGCCTTTGGCTCAGGTCAGGATCCAGGATAGAGTCCTGCATCAGGCTCCTCACGGAGAGCCTGCTTCTCCCTCTGCCTATATCTCTGCCTCTCGCTCATGAATAAATAAAAAAAATCGTAAAAAGAAAAAAAAAAAAAAGGAAAGCTGGAGACATCACAATTCCAGACTTCAAGTTATATTACAAGCTGTAGTAATCAGTATGGTACTAGCACAAAAACAGACACGTAGGTAAATGGAATAGAATAGAAAACCCAGAAATTGATTCACAACTATAAAGCCAACTAATCTTTGACAAAGCAGAAAAGATATCCAGTAGAAAAAAAATAGTCTCTTCAACAAATGGTGCTGGGAAAACTGGACAGGAACATGAAGAAAAATGAAACTGGACCACTTTCTTATACCATACACAAAAATAAAGTCAAAATGAATGAAAGACATAAATGTGAGACCTGAAACCTTAAAAATCCTAGAAGAGAACACAGGTAGTAACTTCTCTTAACATTGGCTATAGTAACTTTTTCTAGGTAGGGTCCCTGAGCTCAGCAAGAGAAACAAAAGCAAAAATGAACTATTGGGACTACATCAAAATAAAAAGCTTCTGCACAGCAAAGGAAACCATCAACAAAACTAAAAGGCAACCTATGGAATAGGAGAAGATATTTGCAAATGATGTATTTGATAAAGGATTAGTATCCAAAATATATTTAGAACTTATCAGGGCAGCCCGGGTGGCTCAGCGGTTTAGCGCCGTCTTCAGCCCAAGGCATGATCCTGGAGACCCAGGATCGAGTCCCATGTCAGGCTCCCTGCATGGATCCTGCTTCTCCCTCTGCCTGTGTCTCTGCCTCTCTCTCTCTGTGTGTGTCTTTCATGAATAAATAAATAAAATCTTAAAAAAAAAGAACTTATCAAACTCGACACCCAAAAAACTAATAATCCAGTTAAGAAATGGGCAGAAGACATGAATAGACATTTCATCAAAGATGACGTACAGATGGCCAACAGACACATGAAAAGATGCTCAACATCACTCATCATCAGTGAAATACAAATCAAAACTACAATGAAATACTACTGCACAACTGTCAAAATGGTTAAAATTAACTACACAGGAAACAAAGATGTTAGCAAGGATGCAGAGAAAGGGAAATCCTCTTACACCGCTGATGGGAACAGAAGCTGGGTAAGCCACTGTGGAAAAATATGGAGGTTCCTCAAAAGTTAAAAATAAGAGCTACCAAAACTAGAAAGAACCCATCAAAAAGAAGAATTAAAGACCAATATCTCTGTAAAAATTCTCACCAAGATACTAGCCAATAGGATCCAACAGTATATTATGAGGACTATTCACCACAACCAAGTGGGATATATCCCCAGGATGCAAGGGTGGTTCAACATTC